ATTTTTACTAGAATCTCAGTGGCTCTATATTACTAGACAATTTATAGTACGCCATGACAATTTCACCAAGTGGGACATACTCCTGAATTATTTGAAGCACTTATTCAACTTCGTCTCTTGTGTTTCCACATCCCATGTCAGTGTCTCCGGTGTTGGTGGCACCCGACCTGCCACAACTTTCACTATTTCCATCGCTCTTTCTTACCTACCCCCGTTTTTATCTCATACATAATCTCCCCCAGCCCTGGCCAGTTTGGCTCAGCGGTTAGAGCGTCGGCCTGCGGTCCGGAGAGACCCGGGTTCGGTTCCCGCTAAGGGCACGTACTTCGGTTGCAGTTTGTCCCCGGCCCTGGTTGGTCGTGCGGGTGGCAGCCACTCGATGTGTCCCTTCACGTCGATGTTTCTCTCTCTCTCTCCCTTCCTCTCTCTCCCTCCCACTCTATCTGTACAAAAAATGGAAAAATATCCTCGGGTGAGGATAAAAAAAAAAAAGTGATAATCTCCCCCATTGTTCCATCCACCCCTTCATTCAACACTTATTTATTGAGCATCTGATAATATTTAATCAACACATATTTACTGAGTACTTCTACGCATCAGGAGCTTACCTTTCTAGGAATTCAAAATTCTTGGAAAGGAAAACAGACATGGAAATATTTAATTACAACAACACTCGAATACCGGACAGGCTTGAATAAAATCCTTTCGGAGTCCAGAGGGAGTGGGGCAGGGGGAGGGGCGCAATCAAGAAGTTTTACAGAAGATCCTTGTACTTGGGCTTGAGGGAGAGTTGGGAAGGAGACAGGACGCACGGCGTCTGGGCCCAGGGGAACCCGAGCAGAGCAGGAGAAAGCAGGAGAAAGTCCTGCCATCTAAGAACGGTGAGTAGTTCAGTGTGAACACAGATTCAAATACACACAAGGCAGTCGCGGGTGAGGGGCCTACTGGACTGGCCCTGCTTCATTTTCTGAGCCCATCAGCATGGGCTTTACCTGTGTTTGCAGGGACCTAACACACGTTGTGTTCAGCTGAGCAACCACCCCAGATTTGTTTGAGGGAAAACAGAGATTGAATAAGAGTGAGGAAGGGGGACTAAAGTAGAAATAAAATAGGAATAGACTGGTATAGTCTGCTGGCTGGGAGCCGTGGTACGGACTTCGGGGTGAGCAAAGGTTAGGACGAAATAGAAGAGATGGAGTCAAAAGACATTTCCAAGACAGAATCTACAGAACTGGCAAGTCATCGTGCATCCAGGCATGTGCCTGTGTGTTGTGTGGCGGTGGGTGGAGAGAAGGCAGGGGCTGAGCCTGTGCCCGATTTCCTGGTGTTGCAGTTGCTGCTGTTTGCTTAGAGAGGACTGAGCAGGTGCCTGTGAGACAGAATCCAGGAAGGGAAGTTGCTGGATAGGCAGCGGTGGTTTGCTTTCTTTTTAGACATTTTAAGCTTGAAGTAACTGATGGGTAATATGACACAGACATGACCCAGGCGGTAGGAAATATAAAAACTAATCTGACAGAGGACGGCTGGATGGAGATCTAGACTACGGAGCCATCAATAAATGGATGGTGTATAGTCAACGGAGTAGATAATGCCCCGAAGGAAGGGAGAAGGCCAAGAGAGAAGACCTGGGGACAGTTTGAAGAGCTGAGCAGCAAACAAGAACATGTGACCAATAACCAGAAAAATAAAAGGACCGAGTGACGGAGTCTTCAAACCCATGGAAAGGGAAGGTGTGAAGAAATGTGTTATCTCACTACAGCCTGTGGGGTTTATATCCTTGCACCAATTTGACCAGTGAGAAAGCAAAGCCCAGATGGTGGCTGCCTGTCGGATTCACATACCAGTAAGCAGCACAGACAAAGGGGATCCTGCTGCTATCTCCCTCTGTCCAAAGGCAGTGTCTGTTCCTCTAAAATCCATGGCCTCTGCCGCCACAACTTCACTTGATGACCTGGAGGCTCCAGTTTCTCCTTTTACCCTAAGTTCACTGTGGGTAATCGCTGTCCTTAGGGTCACTGATCTCCGTAATCAATACTCATTCTCCCGCTCCTGATTCTGCCACAGGTCTGTGCTTTCCATCTCTGCCTCCAGCACTCAGCAACCAGCCTGCTACCCCACCTCTGCCCGTGGCTCTCCTCCACCCGAGATATGCCTCCACTGTTTGCCCGGTTTGTGGTCCTGAGCACCTTCCAGAACAACGTGTGTATGTGCCTCTCATCTCCCCCACTGATTAACTCTCGCCATTGGGACTGTTCCATTAGTCCGTGCTTCCTGGCATTATTCATACACAGACACAGAATTTGGTTCTCTTTGCTTACTTGAAAAGTTTCGAATGTGTCTATTCTTTCTTCTCAATCAGCCTGTAAGCTCTTCAAAGGAAGAGGTGGTTTTCCGGAGTCCATTTTTTAACCCCATTAATTAAATGAGTGTAAGAGCAGGCGGGGATGTGATGTCAGTAAGTGTGAATGAGGCTTGGCTGCCACAGGGTCAAGGACAAGGAACAGACTAACACAAAAACTAAATGTAAGTAAGGCAACTGACTTTTCAAACTTTTAATGTCATTGGACCCATAGATTACAGTGGTCAAAAGTGGTGGCATTTACCATAGAGAACTGCAGATTTTACAGGAAACAGGTCTTGAGCCAGTGTTTAGATTTTTCTCAGAATAAAGTCACTTTAAATAACTATTTGAATAAATTACATTTTCACAAGGTTCATAAACATCTGTACTTATAGTCTTTGTAATACATACACCAACAGTATTTAGAATAAAACAGTACTGTTCTTTTAACTTCCCCTTAAATCTATATCCCAGGAAACGTGGTCCAGTATTCCAGCTGGGCACCGGACCCCCTGCAGCCCAGCTCGTGGCCGAGGCCCAGTGCCCTGGCTGCTTTCTGGATCTACATTTCAAGGACAGAATAAACCAGTGAAACATACCAAATCCTCAGATAAACGGCCCAGACCAGACATCATACAATAGACAGTTATTTTCTTTGGAAGTCAGACAAAAGAACGAAGCACAGAACTGTTCTTTCATTATTTCCCTATTACTTGAAACACACATAAATATTCTCAGATTTTTTGTGTGGGTCTGAACTCCCAAGTTCTTCCTTATTTTAAATTAAGAAGCAACTGCACACTTCTCCACGTGGAGTAAGCATACAGTGGCTGACTTGGAAAGACCCCAAAATGGGCTCTTTCTGTTTGAAAGCTCACAGATGAAGAAGTCATGGAATTTGTTTACTTTGGACACTTTCAAATACATGAAAAGCAGAACTGTGAAACCTGACTGATGTCATTTCCTGCACAGAATTCTGAAAAGAGCTAACAATTTCCTCAGATATTCTATTATTTACACAGTAAGTGGAGACATAAAATTAATTATGTCTCATTATTATTTCATGAGACCTTGCAATATGTCTGATAATGAGCTAAACTTTACACACGTTATCTCATTCAGTGCTCACAACAACCCTCAGAGGTGAGTACACGTGCTAGATAGACATGAGGAGACTGAAAGCGAGAGAAATTAGTAAGTTGTCCACAGCCTCAGAGCTAAAGGGTATCGGTGCCAACATTTAAATGCAGACAGCCTGATGGCCAGGCCCCAATTCCACATCTCCGCTGAGTTATATTGAGTGCTACCTACTTTCTTTCGGGTGAAATATTTTCCCAGTGAAAGTTAAAATACTATAATGCCATATTTTGTAATGGGTAATGGGAACTTTAAACTCCCATGTTCAATGAAAGTTACCTAAAGAGAGAATACCTATCAAAACTAATGTAAATGCAGAAAAAAAGAAAAAACGAGAATGCACGGAAATTAACTGTGCCCTGCAATGTATCTAAGGAGAAATGGTATTCCCAATAGTCATCACGTAAGTTCAATATCACTAATGATTACGTATTATCAGTTGTTGATGGTGCATTTTTTTTTTTTTGAAATCCTCGCCCAAGGACATTTTTGCATTTATCTTCAGATAGAGCGGGAGGGAGAGAGGGAGGAAGAGAGAGAGAGAAACATTGATATGAAAGAGACACATCCACTGGCTGCCACCCACACGACCCCAACAGCAGCTGGGGACAAACTGCAACCAAGGTACATGCCCTTAGCAGGAACCAAACCCGGGCCTCTCTGGTCTGCAGGCCGACGTTCTAACCGCTGAGCCAAACTGGCCAGGACTGATGGTACATTCTTAATCCAGGCAAGTAATATAATACATTTTTGAAATTTTAAAAAAATACTTAGGGTAGGAAGTAGTATATTAGTGAGTTACATGCAAGCAGTGTTAAAAATGATTTGTTTCCCACACTTGCTCCTTTACTGTAAGCACACATATGTGATTATTAAGGATAGGCCACATATTTTTATCTAACCTTTTGCCCAGGCTGACTTGCACACCTCCAAGTTCACGAGTAAAATCCAGAGAAGGAAAAGTCATCGCCAAGCACTCAACATAAAGCAATCACAGAAAGGTGCCCTTTACAACATGTCATTTACATATCTGTAGGAAACATATTTGAAACACACACACACACACACACACACCCCATAATCAGCAAGCCAGAAAGCTTCTTCAGATCACTGGTCCCTGATTTTTCAGATCCACCATTCATAAGAAGGTTCTATTAGTTAAGAATTAGAAACTAATTGTTCTACTAAGTCACTTAAAAGCAAATACACCAGCTGTTCATATTTTCATAATCAGAATGTTCCCAGATACAGTGGAATTTACAGCACTTAGCAGGAGTATTCACATCTAAAGGTATTTAATTAATTCTGTTCTGAAATTCAAAAAGCCCTTAGAGTGAAATAAATACTAATTAAAGTATATGCATAAAAAGATACTCTCCAAGAAAAAAAACAAACAAAACATGTTTATGTCATATTGGACGAATGGTAAAAGATTAAATAACAGCACCAGGGAATTTAACCAGGCAGGCTAAAAGCATCAAAAAACATTTCTTTGTACATACCATTAGAAAAATTTCCTTACCATATACTCCATATTAGATGCTGTTGGGTACACCTGACTTCGTAATTTATTATGAAGATCCAAGATACTCTGCATGTCATCGTCTGTGATGGCCCTTTTCCCTCTTTGCTTGGCCGTCCACCACTCACCATCCTCATCCATGTACTTTTCCAAAAGTTTTTCCAATAAAGTGGCATTAGGAACGACCATGGCTGGAATTGCTTTAGCCATGAATAGCAGCACTGTGGTCACTCGGAGCCACTCCCGCGTGGTACACTTCATAATGAATGATCTCAGGATTTCCCTGGGAAAACCTCCAAGACAGGCTCTTCCACTCCTTTTGGCTATAAGGACACGCAGTGTGATTAGCGTGAATATCTAGGCAGCTATTAATTTTCTAGTAATAAAAGTAAAACAACAGTTACAAATGGAGTGTACTAGTTTGATGTGTCTCTATAAAATGCCAGCGAATGGACATGCACTTTTGAAACAACTAATCCCACCCAATTTTTCCTTAACACATTGAAATGTATTGTTTCCACAAAACAGACAACACGTTTTCCAAGATAATATGCATGAGGATAAAAAGAAATGGCAAAGTTGCCCAAAAGAATCAAAGCTTTAAAATAATTTCTGAATTACAAGGCTTTAAATGACTATAATTACATACAGCCTGCAAAGGGCATTACCTACCTAGAATGTTTTATATCAATGTAGAGGTCCATGTTTCTCAGTGATCTAAGGCATTTTTTTTTTTTATCCCAGTGTCCTATCTACAGTTCACAGACACTCGGGATGTCCGAGACATTCTGAAATTGAGGTGACTATTTTAAAGTACACAATGTCACTTATATATATCCATGGGTGCAAACAGAGGGCCCAGGCAATAAAGGCGTATGAATGGTTCCGGTCACTGGAGAAAGTCTCCTCTTGCCCAGATGCAAGCCCAGAACTCAATCATTATTTCCTGGGAAATGTGCCTAACCGGTGGCCCGCACCCCATAGAACCGACAATTCACCAACTATTCACACGCAGTTTCAGAGCTTTCTCGGCCACTCGCCCCAAGCGCACCCTGCTCCTTTAACCCGAATGAAAAGCGCGCGCCCGAAAGAGGGAGTGAAACTCACAGAGGCTCTTACAAGAACCAGCTCCCCGCAGCCACCCACCCTCGGGTCTGACCCTGTTCTGCAAGCTCGTTTTATTGAAAAGTTGGGGTTAGGAAGATGAAGGTAACTAGGCAAAGGAGGATGCGTGACGACTGGGCGAGGAGTTTCAGAAATGTCCTTACCTCTCCAGTGTGAAGTTCCCTACGAGAGCGGAGTCCAACGCGCCAGCCGCCCCCCCGACCCCGCTCCACACGCCACCGCACTCAGTGAGTCCACTTCGGGACGGACCGGGCACCGCGCGTCCAGGGCGACCCGGGCGCCGACTGCAGCGGGACGCGAGCCTGGGCCTCCGCGTTCCCGCAGGACCTGCACCAAGGAGCAGGCAGACCTCTCCAAAGTTAGCGCCTGAAGTCGGAGCGCACAGGGACCCGCCTGGTCAGCTGGCCGGGGTGCGCGCCCCAGCGTCTCCGAGCGCTCTCTGCAGGAGCTGGGGGCGGGGACAGCAGCGAGCCGGGCGGCGAAGGCAGGCGGCGACCTGGGACTCCAGCTCCGAGTGGCTGCGGTGCGCGGAGCCGGGCGCCTAGAGCTTCCGCCGCTCGCTCCAGCCCCGGGCATTTATTGCGGTTCCTGCGCGCGCACGTGACGCGAGCGCCCTCCTCGCCCACCCCCACCTCTCCCGGCCCTGGACCGGCGCCCGCCGCGCAAGCAGGGAGCAGCCCAGCGAACCAGGACGCTCGGCCTGTGTGGGGACCCTGTGGAAAGTGTGTGCAAGGAGAGCCCCAACTCCTCCTCCCTCCGAGGTTCCCACCTCCCCGTCCTTTCCAAATGTGATGCAAACATGGTTTTAACAAACCCTTTCAGAAAAGGAGCTACTCCGGAGAGCTTGAAGGGAGAGGAGAGGTATTAGCACCTTCGCGCTTGGAGATGCCGAAGAGGAACTGGGGGGCGGGCGGGGGAAAGGAGGGGAGAAGGGCTTTTCCTTTTATTTACCCCAAGGGGTCGCTTGTTTCCAAGAGCCATTGTCTAGAATTCAGAAGTTGCTGTTTTTGGCCCCTTTAAACCTTGATGGTGACCAGATGGGGAAGGGGTTTCATGGAGTGATGGGTGATGCGTGACTCAGGATTGCCTGACAGTTGAGAGCCCACTTCATCCATAAAATATATGGCATTGGCTTAACAAGGTGACCAAGGCACTTTTCTCCCCTGATGATGTAAACATTTATGGAGTTGATATAAAGTGTACCCTCAATTGATTTATCAGAGCTATGTCGACAAGAATTCAAAACCCAAACCTGGAGTTAATGGTGAAATGAGCGTGTGAGTTTCCTTGTTGTTCATGCTATAATCTGGAGTAGGAAAATTACTAATTTTAAATTCACAAAGTCTCACCCTACTGAGTGTGGTATGGCTTCTACAGGAACATTTTTTTTTAATTAAGAAAGTATTAATTAATTTGCCTTTGCTTCCGTCCTGTAGTGAGCCATGATCTGAATTTTCTTTATCTCTAAATGCTCAAGTCGTAGCTTATGATCAAATAAAGTAAAACATTCTGATAGTAACTCCCAAATCATCGCAAGCTGCTTCCTGTCTCCACCATCCAACTACGCTTCATCAAACCTAAAAATTCAGATCAAATAAAGAAAAGGACATCACCTATCAGAAAGTCACAGGGGTGAAAGGTTTTGGTGACATACAACTTTCATAGAAGGTGTAATTTTGCAATTTCATTGCAGCTTAAGCACAGGAATACTATTGCAGTTGTAGTTTACAAATATTTGTTTATAACCCTCATGCACAGGGTTCAGAAAACTGACTTTACCTCCTGAAAAGTGACGGAAGACCCCCAAGTTCATGCTCAAAGAACTATCATTTATCACAGCAGATAAAGAGCATGCTTCTATACTGCAGTTTTGATTAGGTATTATTAAGTATACTGAGCATCAAAAAGCATTAAAAGTAATAACATTACTTTAAGAATTTTCAAAGAGAATTTGGTTTGGAAGAAGGCAATTAAGGCGATAAAGAAATGAAATGCATTGACTCTTGAATGTTTCCATTATAAACTTTGTGTATATTGTATATACTTTATACATCAGACACCTATAGGCTTACATTAAAGAAAATAAGTTTTGGTTTTAAAGTTTTAATTCCAAACCTTTCCCCAGGCAAGAAAAATAAAAGTTTATATTCCTTGTCTCAGTGTTTCTGTTGGCTTCCAATATGGTACTGCAGGTCATACTTTTCTGTAAAAAAAAAAAAAAAAGGATTTAAAAATTTACTATATTAAACATTAACATACCTGAATTAATATATATTTTGGAAATGTCATTTTAAAGAATAATCAAACACAATATTCTCAAATACTCAAAGATGCTACTGTTCACATTTTTACTTGTTGAGAAATATGTATGTAGACAGAAGAAAACATCTCCACACAGAATTCATGTAAAAGTGGCACTTTGGTTTGTGGCTAAGGCTGTTACTTGTAAGGCCATGGTTGTTTTTAGCATTAGTACTTTCTTGTGGCAGACACTGGTTGGTTGCCTAACCCAAACCAGCCTTCCACCCCTTTCTTCCAAACCCAGAGCTCCCAAATTGCTGGGGGTGTTCCTCCTTGCACGGGCTGTCAAACTGGCATCCTTAGAAGGTAAAGGTTGGTCAGTTAAAGCAAGTCATCACAATCCATCCCCTCTACAGGAAGAAATGAACTTGAGGGTGAGGAGGAGGGTTGGCAAGTGTTTTCTTTTGTGATAAAAAGAGGTGCAAACGAGAAAATGTCCCTTCGGGTGCTGATGTGTACATTTGAGAAATTTAAAGATGCATATTTTATGGGGCAAGAAAAGGACACCCTTGAGGACAGAGACCCATCATGCTGGCCGAGCAGAAAGACAGGTGGTGCCGGAATCTTCCTGCCAGTCCTTGAACACCTCCCTTTTTTCTGGTTGTCAGAGACAGTAAATATAGGGTTTAAGCCACAATGACTTGGATATTTAGTTACCTGCAGCTCAAAGATTTCTAACTGATCTATTTCTACAAAGAAGATACATTCCTCTGGCAATGTCACATTTTCTCCATGGTGCTGCTGCTAGTATTTCCTGCTCACGTGCATATTTAGGACTTATCTTGAAATAGATTCACAGGTGTGTTTTCCATCTGTATACTTGCAAAAGCGGGTTTATGTTCATCTTCTGGCATTTCATTCATTGTGTCGTCGCATGACCCCAGACCTCACTCTCAAGCCCAGGTGCTAGCAGTTCTGTGACCACTCTGTTACTGACTACACCCTCCACTGGGGAATGTAAAAATGGAATTTGTGTTGTTTTGGGAGGCAGAATCAGTGTAGTGAAATGTTTTAAAGCATGAGATTTTATTTATTTATTTATTTATTTATTTATTTATTTATTTTATCCTCACCCGAGGACATTTTTTCATTTTTTGTTCAGGTAGAGTGGGAGGGAGAGAGAGGAACAGAGAGAGAGAGAGAAACATCGATGTGAAAGGAACACATCGAGTGGCTGCCACCCGCACAACTGACCAGGGCCGGGGAAAAACTGCAACCGAAGTACGTGCCCCTGGCAGGAACCGAACCCGGTCTCTCAGGACCGCAGGCCGACGCTCTAACCGCTGAGCCAAACCGGCCAGGGCTAAAGCATGAGGTTTTAAACTAAGATGTCCAAATTAGTTTCATGACATGTCACGGGTCGTGGGACCACGATTATACTATTTGGTCCCTATGAGCCCGGGACCCTTCCTCTTTAAAGGGACGTAATAATAGTTGCCATCTCACTTTGCCATTTTGTGAGTTAATACATAAAAGCACTTAAAACAGGTAGAGGGTACTTGATAAGAGTTAAATATCATTATAAGGAATGAAGTGGAGGCTTCATAATGCTATTTTATACATTTAATGGGCTTTAATCAAAGTACCGTTCAGTTTAAAAGTTTAACTGTTGAGTAGAAGTAATTGGCTATACCCATGACAAAAAACTATCTGTGATATCTCTGGCAATACACAGTGGAATTTCCTCTCACAGGTGATACAGTGTTCAATTCTTCTTACCACTGGACTGTTTCTATTTTTATCCAAAGACCTGAACATACAGCTAACCCCTGAGTGATGCAGGGTTAGGAGCGCCCACCCCCACCTAGTCAAAAATCCCAGTGTAACTTTTGACTCCCTCAAAACGTAACTGCAGTCTGCCCTTTGCATCCGCGGATTCAACCAGCCGCGGTTGGAAAACAATATTTTTGGTCCGCGAGTGGAAAACTGTGGCTGGGAATGTGTGGTTGGAAACACGAAAATACCGTTTTCAATCTACAGTTGGGAATATACACCTGGGAAGCAGCTGTGGTTGGGAATTCACAGGTGGGGGTCTGCGGTCACTAATGCAAAAATACTGTTTTCAATTTGCACTTGGTTGAATCCCCGGATGTAAAAGCCCTGGCGAGGAAGGGCCGGCTGTATTTATTGAAAAAAGTCTGCGTGTAAGTGAACCAGAGCAGTCCAAACCCGTGTTCAAGCGTCAACTCTGGATGTGTGTATTTATATGTACACGTATATATGAAGCTACGCAGTCTTTTTCATGGGTGTGCAGCTCACTGAGACTTTACAAAGTTAACACAACTGTGTGAAGACCACTCCGATCCAGAGAGAGAAGGAGAAGCCCCCGGTGTGTCTCCTGCCTGGTACAGCCTCTCCAAAGGTAGGCGGTATTTCAGCTTCTTATCCAAAATTAATTTCGCCTGCTTTTAATCTTGACAGAAATGGAATCATGCAGTGGACAGTGCCATTGCTTGGCATCTTTTGTGTCATGTGTCTTTTATTCAAGATTCACCCACGTTGTTGTCTATAGCGTTCATTTGTTCTTCCCCTTTGATGAACTTACCACATTGTATTTACTCTTTCTGTTGTTGAATATTTAGAGTTGTTTCCAGTTTAGGACTTTTCAAAATAAGGCTGCTAAGAACATTCCTGTAATATGTCTTTACACATACAGGGATGGGCAAAAGTAGGTTTACAGTTGTGAGTACACAAGAGTTTATTCTTGTATTATTAAGTATGAATTATTGTGTTATTTTTGTTGTTTTGTTAATCCTCACCCAAGGACATTTTTCCATTGAATTTTAGAGAGAGTAGAAGAGAGGGAGGGAGGGAGAGAGAGAGAAACATCGATGTGAGAGGGACAAATCAATTGATTGCCCCCTACCCCC